TTATTATAATTTAATTTAGATTTAATAACAAAGTAATTTATTTTTTATTTAATAATATATTTTTTTTATAAAGATAATAATTAACACTATGTTAGAACTCAATGATTATCTTAATTATATTTTAGATTTTTTGTATTTAAAATATATATTTATCCTGTATTTATTATCTTTATCTGCAATTAGTTACACGAATTTAAAAACGGTGCTTTAATAAGTTGTACTTACGCAAAATTACTTGTAATCTTGAATTTTAAGTAATATGCATCAATAAACAGTATTTCATGCATAAAAAATGGTTTTTAAGAATTTATGTCAAATGCTTTATAATATAGTATATATATATATATATATATATATATCCAAATATAAAATAATTATAAACAAGATTAATATATATGTATTCAAATATAAAATAATTATAAACAAGATTAAAAATAAATTAAATCAACATTTATATCGTTAAATTAATGTTCATATATGTCGTCAGATTAATCTCGTGAAGTAGTGACATACTAAGTAAAATTATAGTATATAACACAAATAGTTGAATACTCAAATAATAACCTAACATTAACACTATTGCGGTATCGTAGCCCTTAGCCTTCTAGGAAATCAGTGGTTCAAACCTCACCATAGGTAAGGAGGGTGTGTAAGTTTATTTGTTGCATTTATCGTATATAAATATTATATACTTAAAAAAAAACTAGCTATTGCGTAAGAAAGAAGGAATGTTGTAATTTTATGATGACACGATGAAAGGAAATCGAAAGAAGCAATCGAGGATTTAGAGGCTGTTTAATAGTTGTTGAATGATTTTGTGTAAAATGATTAAGTGATCCTCATGATATAGTGCAAAATGAAATATCATTGTGCGGTAATTGTTTATAATGAAATTAGGGTGTTGAATGATTAAGAAGGGTCAATGATACAAAATTATTCAGATGATTTTAGAACCATTAAAAAACAAATTTTTTTGTCTAGCAAGATCCACTTCTTAACGATTCAGATATTGTCTCTTAATGAGGTTATGTTATAAAATTTATGAAAATTTTAAATAAATTTAATTTTTAATTAAGCTACCCTAGAAAAGACTAACGAAATCTTGAGACTTTAATGGATTTTTTTTACATTATATAATTATTATATTATTATAAAAACTTTTAAATAATTTGGAGGTGCTATACGATGACATCACTTTGAATATTCTTAGGAACGACCTTGATAACTACTTTTATCAGATAAAACAATACGAATTAATGTTGTCGTAATAGAACGAACCAAACATGTGAAATGCTGGTAATTGGAAAGGATACAAACTAAAATATCGTATTTTAGTCCTTAGACAATGATTTATGTATCACTGTTGTAGATCATTACAAAACACAACTAATTCCTTAGGTGTTATTTGATAAGCAATTATATATTTTATTTAATGTATTAATGCAATATAAATATTGCTAAAGTTATCGCATTATCAAAAGTACTGATTTTATGGATGTAACAGAATTTACAATTGAGGTTCTTGTAAGAACCTTATAATTCTACTTTTTTCTGTTACATCAGTACACCTTAATAAAATAATAACTTCAATATAACTCCACAGGGTCTTAAAAGAACACCCCCCCCCCCCCCTTTCTTCCTTTTTTGTTTTGTTTATATAATATATAGAGAGAGGGTGAGTTATTATGCAATCTTTTACATTCGTACAACCAATACAACTCAATCTCAATCGTACATTTAATTTGATTAATATGTGATTTCATATAAGTTTTAATTGTTCCTAATATAAAATATTGGTCATAATTAATTAATCTTAGTCATCTTTCATAAATATTTAAATCATAATAAATGAATTTTAATCGTTTCTATAAATATCTCAATTAATTATGTTGCATTGGTTGTACAAATTATGATAGGTTGCATTTGAAACGTCCTCTCTCTCTCTCTCTCTCTCTCTCTCTCTCTCTCTATATATATATATATATATATATAAATAAGGTCTCATTCAAGAAAGAATTGACTAGTTTGTGGTAACCGTAATATTCAATTTCAACCATAAATCAATAGATAAATTAAGAAATTTATAATTTTAGTAATTTTGAATTAGAATTTTAATTCAAGAACATTTTAAGTATTTTCTCTCCTCTCTTCTCTCCCCGTCCTCCGGTGATACCACTGTGATACCTAAAAATATTGACTCTGTTAAACAAAAGACACAATGTGATACTCAAGCACATATAAGATGCATTGTGATACCACTGTGTTACATCTGCGATCGACCACACAAACGACCTTAGTGTGATACCCAAACACATATAAGATGCATTATGATACCATTGTAGTATCACCGGAGGACGGGAGACGGAGAGAGAAGATAGGATAGAAGAGAGAAGAGATGTAATAAATGAATTTTCCATTATAAAGCGTTGACCATAATTAATAAACATTAATCATCTTACATAAAAATTTATATCATAATAAATGAACTTTCATCATTTTTATAAATATCTCAACTGAGTGTTGTATATGGTTTATATTTGAAACCTCATATACATATATATATTCTAGAAAATCTTTATGTTATAAAAAAAGTCAAATAATAGAAAACTGATTTTTCTAAATGCAGACAAGTTTTCAAGTATTCTGTCATTCAGATAAACCTTCTCTAGGTCAGGACTTATTTTTGGACATTCAACTGATATCATTTTGTTGGCTTTATGCTCGCTAAGGGTTTCAACTACTTTTAGATGGACCAGTGTTGCAACCCGGGTTGTTGGTTGGGTTCTTTTGGCTTATTGGTATTTCAATTTTTGATGCTCGTGGTTTTGTTTTGTCTTTTGTTAGTCTTCGTATTTCTTTTGTTCAATTGATTTTTATCTGTTTATATTTCTGCTTCTTACAGTAGAAGTCGGTGTTGTACTCTCTTTTATGCTATTTTTTTTTGTTTCCTTTAAAAAAAATGCAGACATATGTTTAAACCTTCTATTAAAAGGATAAATAATTAACCACAAGAGTGGTGTCTGATTGGTTTGAGCTTGACTCAAAAGATCAAAAGTACCAGGAGGTCTCAAGTTCAAATCCAAGAATAAATAAAAATCCCCTTGTGGCCACGGAGGTTCAAATGCGGTGACTCCGGACTATCTGCGAAGCAGGTGGTCGTTCTGGGATTAGTCGGCTCGCATAGCGGGTTGGATATCCAGGTTAATAAAAAAAGATAAATAATTTTATTTTAAAAAACTAAATGTCACGAATCTACATTCATTTCATTATTTATCATATAATCATATTTTAAATAAAAAAATCAATTTCAAACAAAATCATGTTTTAAAAAGTGTATGAGAATAAGGGGCCGTTTATCAAACACTTAACCAGTAAACGCTTACCGGTAATAATTCAACACTATCATTTACTTACCCGGTAAGATTTTAGTTCATAAAAACGACATTGTATGCAACAATTTACCTGGTAAATGCTTACCGTGGTAAGAGTCATCGTCTTCACTTACTGGGTAAGACTTTTTTCCTTGGCTCGCTCTTACCGGGTAAGATTATTGGTCCTTACCACATTCATCCGATAAGGTAATGTGACTTGGTAAACAATTACCCAGGTAAGCATTTGGTAAACAACCCCTCAGGGCCGTCCCTGGGGGAGGGCGGGCTGGGCGTACGCCCAGGGTCCACAAAAATTAGGGTCCCAAAATTTTTCAGTATATATAATAGTATTTCAAAAAAAAATTAGTAAATAGAAGAGACATAAAAAAATTAGTATATAATAGAACCATAAAAGGTTTTGGTACTACATTAACTATTAAAAGCCCAAACATGTACTAATTAAAATATATTGGAGAAGAAAATACATAAAAAAGTTAATTTGTCGTTCATTACATAATATTTTTTGATATTTCTCTAAGTGTTTTTTATCTAATACTGATGTTTAAAACTACTTGCCTCGAAAACTTTGATATATTCTCCAAAATTTATCTTTGATCGACTCTTTTGATTATTCCATCCTCGCATGAATTCTATTTTTGTGTTAGAATATAATATATTTTCTTGTTATTAGCTAACAAAACCACCATCTTTTGAAAAAATTACCAACTATATGAGACGGTACAATTTCTATCTATATTTAAAATAATAAAACAATTATCGTTTTTTCCTTTCATATTTGTTCTTTATTATCTAATATTGAGTGTATAAATCTTATGTACTCTATTATCGCTAAAAGAAGAATATGATCTCAAACTATAACCAAAATGAGTTTTTTTATTTATAAGATTGATGATTTCAGAAAAGTTTGTTTTAACTATAACGCTATGTTCTATGAGATTTTTTAGGGAAAGGAAAAAAATGAAATCATATCAAAATTTATTTTTATTTCATTATTTTTCTTTCATCTCTCTTCTCTATCAAAAACACAAATAAAAAAACTTTATTTTTTTCCTTTCTTTTATTTTTCTTTCTCATTATTTTCTTTTTTTTTTCCAAATTCGAGAACATGATATAAAAGTTCAAAATGGTGTTACAAAACATTAACATGAGGTAACATGGAAAACTGACATATTTACATTGATTTACATAGTCTTACTCGAAAATCAGAAGAATTAACATTGTGACCCTTCATTCTACGTATTTGATGAACGAACAAATTGATGGTGTAACATAAAAATGTTCTAGTAGATAATATTAATTTAAAAATGATTATTGATTGATTTCGCATCTATGAATACTCGGAAAAACGGTTTTATATGAATTCAATGTTATTTCTGATGATAAAAACAATATATTGAAAAAATGTTGTACTTATCGAGGGCCCTTTTTCACATCTTGCCAGGGCCTAAAAAATGTCAGGAACGGGCCTGCAACCCCTAAATGTGAGATTACGTTTTAAATTTTTTATGAAACCATATACCCAACCATATACCCTTTAAAAAGAAAGTTTATAGTCGTAAAAACCACCAAGGTTCAAAATTTGTTCTATAAAAAAACAATATTTAATTATCTACTGTATATGTCAAAACATCTGTTGTCATAAAATAAGTCTGTATTTTAAGAAAAATATCGTCATAAGACCTTATTACATTAGTCGAGTTTTATTACATTGGTGCCGAACTCGATGGGTGAAAACCATCAATCAACGTAATTATGGTTAACTTACCATCAATACGAAACTTCAACAATGCGAGTAAGCTTAGATGCACAAGTGTGTACATGTATATACAAGAAGGTTCAAATGAGAACATCAAGACAGCGTGAGCATTTGGTTCGTAGAATGGAATTCGGAGGAATTGAGATCCATCAAAGGAATTGTTATGGAATTTGATGAAATTTGACCATGCATTTACTTTGTAAGAATTGAAAAATTAATCTCTGAAAAGAATTGGAATCTTTGTGTTGTCTGACAGAATGTAGCTTCAGAATTGGAACACAAAAACAGAACAATTGTTTTCGGTCACTTGATTTCAGTATCGGAGCTCAACTCGAATTCCCAGCTAAAAACTTGTGCATCTTATTAGCAACCTCAATCGAGCTAGATCCCGCGGCCTTCACAATTCCCGAATTGTTCATCATCGCTCTCCAACAATTCGCATCATCCCAACGGTCACATGAAGCATACAAATTAGACACCATCATGTAATCCCCATCGTTTAGAAAACCATCGTTAACGAGGATCTTAACTACCTTCTCCCCGATCTCGAGATCCCTATAATTCACACAAGCACCAAGCAACGCACCCAAAACAGACTTCCCTGCCCTAAATGGCATCGTCGCAATGATCGTATATGCACTTTCGAGAAATCCGGCTCGGCCGAGAAGATCAACCAAACACCCATAGTGCTCCATCTTACGAGCCACACCATGGTCGATCTCCATAGAGTCGAACAGGGTTTGACCCTCTTCGATCAGACCTGAATGGCTGCAGGCACTAAGCAAAGCAATGAAGGTTATATCATCAGGATTTGTACTTTGGAGCATTTCATCGTACACTTTGAGAGCAGCGACACCATAGCCGTGAAGTGCAAGTCCAGATATCAATGCATTCCAACAGTATACATCTCGGACTTTTGACTTGTAAAACACGGTCAGAAAGCTCTCTACGCACCCACATTTGGCGTACATGTCTATTAGGGAAGTGGTTACATGGGGGCTCGACACAAGTCGTGAATCTTGGGCATAGACATGGATTTGACGACCTTTTTCTAGCAACCCCAACTGAGCACAAGCAGACAAGGATGTTGTTATTGTAAGATGATCTGGGGACGTTGTGTTTTCCGCTTTCATCTTTTCGAAGATAAGAATAACTTCTTCAAATAATCCGTTCTTCAAATATGCTCCAAGCAATGTGTTCCATGAAATGACATTTCTTTGAGGCATTTCATCAAACACCTTACGTGCTTCTACCATGTCCCCATGATTACCACATGCCAATATCAAAGAGTTCCATGAGATGGTATCTCTTTGAGGAATTTCATCAAATATGGCCCTGGCACAATCCATATCACCAATTTTCGAATACCCGGAAACCATGATGTTATATGACAAAAGGTCCCTTTGGGGCATGGTTCGGAAAAGTTGGGTTGCAAAATCCATCTTCTGGATCGAAACATATGCATCCAACATAGAGTTCCAAGCAACCAAATCCTTATCTTGCATACCATCAAAAACCTTACGAGCTTCATCAATTCTTTGAACAGATGAGTACATGTTCAGAAGAGAAGTTTGGACCAACAGATGGTTGTCAAAGCCCGTTTTCACTATCTGGGCATGGAGAGCTAACCCAATTCGGCCATATGAAAGATTAGAAACTGCTTTTAGTAACACTGGGAACGTGAAGTTATCAGGGACGACAGTACCTGTTTCTTGCATGCATCGGTATGTAAGAAAAGCCTCTTTGGTGTTCCCTTCCACAACTTGTTTCTTGATAATCTTGTTCCATGCCCTCTGGTCAAGAACTGAGCATTGCAAATGGAGAGCCATTCATCCATCTGAAAGACATCCAACAGCCATACAGAAAAACAAGAACACTATATAAACACGAAACTAAGCTTCACAACTCTACTGGAAAGCTCAGGGCTTTTTGTTGATGGATTCCTCAAGATAAATGGTGAACAATGATTGAAGCTAAAGACAAACCATTATCCATCAAGGGACCACTTCTATCTCCCTTGTTCACATATTATATGTCCCTTATTATATAAATCAGATTTAAACTATAAAATTCATGCAATATTAAACTTCTGTTTCACAAGGTTAAAGGGTGTTACTCGGGAAATGCATTGGTAAAAATTAGAAAATTAACAGAAGATGAGAGAGAATTTAAACAGGCAACCGACTGTGTTTGGATTTATATATTGCATACTACATTTACATCACAGTAAAATAAGGATTGCAAGATTACTTGCCCTGTTTGTGCTTAGATCTTGAATCAGCCCACTTAAAGAAACCACAATTTGCTTCAGGATTTGAGGCGGGTCCCTGTAAAGTCAAATTTATTAGATAGAAGGCAGAAGTCAGAAGAAGAATAGATACAGCTTGGGCAGGTCCCTAAAATTCTTACAAAAAAAGTGTCAGTTTTAAGAAATTAAATGAAACCGGTAGATCTCACACGGAGTAGGGTCCGGGGAGGATAGGATGTATGCAGACCACACCTCACCTCACCTCTACTCCAAGGAGTAGAGAGGTTGTTTCTGTGAAGATGCCAGTCTTGGACTTGAGAAAATAAATCATATAAATGAAGTTCGACTCCCAAACATCTTAAAATTGATTATGTTGATATATTATAACCCAAACCGAAATGCATCTCTTTGCTTGGGACAAAGTGAGTATGTAATATCAACTATATAATGGGAATAAAGACTCCACTTATGGAAAACAGCATACCTCTGCACGAGCACAAACATAAAAACGGCGACCAAAAGTGGGTCCCGCTTTCTTCACAACACGAGAAACGCATTGTTCACCATGGCCCTTGCAGACAGGTATGCTATTCTGCATGAATTGTTGAATCCTTTGCCACTCTAGTAGAGCAATCTTACTCTTATCAGTTTGTGAAGAATTACAGGCATCTGATTCACATTGAGACTGATCAGGATCAATATTATTGAATTCAGACTCCTTCAGAATTTCAGTTCCGTATCCCTCAACAGAATTACTTGCATGTTCAAATGGGAGATCAGCGCTGCTGCTCTTAACATCATTGTTGGCTGTTGAACTACTGTGAAAAAAGGATCTAAGTGAGAGCTGCGACAATTGATTTTTTTTCGATTTTTTCTTCATTTCTGTACATTTTGCTGGTTTCATGTGATTACTTCCCAAATTAAGCATCTTCTTGCCACCAAAAACACTGGAGGAACCCTGGGAGCACTTGTCTTTTCCTAATACATCATCTGCTTGTACAAAGCTCGAAGCAGTAAGAAATTCATCCAAGACTAACCCAGTTTCATTACAGTCAAGAATTGGCCTCTTAGCAAGCTGCTCGCAGCCCCGTACTCTAATTTCTTCATCAAGGGAAGTACCGGACTGTTCATGGGCTTTAAATTCCTCTGTTGATTGCCTTCTTGATAACATTGAGACTGCAAAATGCATTTGGGTCTTAAAAATGAAGTGAGTGGCTTCAAAGAAAATTTATCCATCTATTGTGAGCATGACCTACAGAAAATGTTAAATAAAACATGTTCTCTTGGCAATAATAAAACATCTTAGCAGAAGATCACACTCCTAGTGTGTGTGTGTGTGCACGCCAGCGTGCATATTTAACATCATCCATCATTTAGAAATTAAAAAAAATGTTTTTAATACCAAGAGTCTGTTGACATCCTCGAACTTGAGGACAGTATCTAGTGGATAAAGAGGGAGTATTATGCTGTGGAATATCAGGAATCTCTCTCAAACTCATAAAGACTGGGGCATGATCTGAACCTTCCAATTTCATGCTTCTCCCTCCTTTCCATCTGTAGCTGCAGGTATGGAGTAAATGTAATTAACCATACCAATTCATATGGCTCACAAAGACGCATAATGCTAAGATATCTATAACCAAAACCAAACCAAACCAAACAGAAGCAGTATATTCCACTCGAAGGTAGTGTCTTTTTTTGGGAGAGGGGGGTAAGATGTACCGTGTAGAGGCTGTTTCCGAGAAAACCCCCGGCTTGCAACAAAAAAAAAAATAACTAGAGCTAAGATATCAGTAACCAATGCAAGTAAATGCACATGTGAAATGGAATCTATGGTTCTGGAGATTGGTGCTATGGATTCACTTACTTGCACCAATGCATCTTTCCCACTGGCAAAAATTATACTTCAACTGAATTATCATGTGCTCAACATTCACAATCCCACTCAATTTATAAATCAATGACCATAAAACAAATTCAGAACACATATGCCAAAGTGGAATTCTTCTACTGAACTTTCTTAATTCTGTTAAATTCTAATTAAAAGAATAGAACTTGAACACAGCAAGACTATTTCTGTTAGCTTGCTCCACATGTTCCAATGTTCATGATGTATTTTGAGACAGGGACAAATGGGTTATTTTGAACTCACATTTTCACATCTATAAAGTTTACCTTGGCGTGGTCCCAGGTTTCCACCGCTTGAATTGTGTTAATATGTCACACTCTTTAACATGGCAAGAAAAAAAGTTGTGACCATCCAGATCTTTATTTTCATGTAAGCATGAGCCAGCACTTATAATATGGTCAATCCTTGAACCAAAATTGAACACTTCACCACCTGTGCTCGTGGACCAGCAAGTATAGGCCTCTGTTCTATAAATAATTAAAGATGGTAAGATTTTAGAAAAAATATTCAAGAAATGTTTTTGAGGGATTTAGATTTCGTGGAAGGATTTGGAATCGTTGGTTTGTAGGATTCCGAATGGAATTGAATTTCATTCTTTATAGATAATTTATAAAAACAAATTATAAATTATTATAAAAATAATTAATTACCTTTTACTAATTGATTATTACAAAAGGAACGTTTTTATAACATATTGTAAAACATTATTCCAAACAAATCCACAGAAATCCCGTGAAAGACCAACTACCCCGTCGGAATTCTAAATCCAATGTTTTGGAATTTCAATTCGGGACTTCCCTTCAAACCAAACGCGGGATTGGAATGGAATCCAATTCCAAATCCCACCAATTCCAGCAAACCAAATGGGCCCTAAGAATTGGAATTTGGAACAATAAGGATTACCTTTCAGGATGTTTTGCTCTGAACACATCATTGAACAAGCCTCCATTTTCCACCAGTAAGGATCTAAACCAGCTTCTAAACCTAATAATATTCAATAATTTAACTTGAACATTAAAGTTCCTAAATTTAACATGATAATATATGATCATCATTGGGTAGGCTTGTTAACCAAGACTCGGGAGATAAGTTAGAAGCTCACTCATTGTTCTCAAAATCTGGTCCTGCATCACACCTATCTATAGAAGAAGGAGCAATGTTAAAATCACCAACAACGATCACCCTCCTTCCTTTAAGCATGAGAGACTCCCATCGTTTCTAAAACAATGCAACAGAAACCAATCAGAAAGGACAAAGTTCAAACAAGTGCTCCTCCTGACATATCATTATTAGAATGTTACTAGGATGTTATCATTTTTCTTCATCTTTATGTCAAATTTCTTTCAATCTACCATTTCCATCGTTTCAAAGTGGTCTAAAATACCAACTATTTATGGGTATGATTTTTCATGGGATAATATGAAAGGCTAGTAATTAACTATGCTTGTATGATATAGAAAACGAACTTGGTTTGTGATTTAATAGAATTGACATAATGTTAGTATCTATTTACATATGTATTTTATATTTTAAATAATTCTAATTATGGATCAAATAGAATATAAAACAATTAAAAAGCAAAAGGATATTGAGGATAAAAAAATACCTTGATCTTGAGTCTAACTAAAGTCTAGGTTTAATTAATCAAACTCCTCATACCAGTGGACTGAGGTCCAAAATCATACAATAGAACAATATCAAAATATCTTTTGAATATCACGATAAATGAAATTGAACATTCCTTTGAGAAGACAGGGTATGTGTTCTATTATGATATAATGTTCTCACCACGGGTGTAAAAAATAATAAGATTGGAAGAGAGTTAAAAAAACTCAAAGATCTTTTTGAGCATCATGATAAATGAAATTAAACATTCCTTTGAGAAGACAGGGTATGTGTTCTATTATGATATTATGTTCTCACTACGGGTGTGAAAAATAAGAAGATTGGAAGAGAGTAAAAAACTCAAAGATCTTTTTGAACATCATGATAAATGAAATTGAACATTCCTTTGAGAAGACTGTATGTGTTCTATTATGATATTGTGTTCTCACCACAGGTGTGAAAAATAAGAAGATTGGAAGAGAGTAAAAAACTCAAAGATCTTTTTGAACATCATGATAAATGAAATTGAACATTCCTTTGAGAAGACAGGGTATGTGTTCTATTATGATATCATGATCTCACCACGGTGTGAAAAATAAGAAGATTGGAAGAGAGTAAAAAACTAGCAAACAAGTAGATGATTACCTGCAGTATCTTGTAGAATAAGAGCTTGAATTCAATCCGTTCTGCATCATCGCATGCAGCTCGAGGCCCATAAATGTTGAAAAGAACTGTAACATTTTACCAAATGATCACTTTAAATTACATGGAATGCTGGAACAAAATGAAAAGAGAAAGATAACATTGAAACACAACCTAAAATCATTTTTTTTGCAGTGTGTCTAGATGTGTCTAGTAACAGTTTGTTCAGGCTTCTAAAAAGGAGAGGGCATTGTGATCTTCTGATTTGTGATCTTATATGGAGTGTCCAGAAAACATGATCTATAACAATTAACTAATATCATGTCACTCACCAAAATGACCATGGTCGGTGATAATACAACGCCCCTCACTATCAATTTTAAGAAGCTCGTCTCTGTCAATTCCTTCAAGCCCTTCCACACCTGCCACACAATCATGTTTTCTATTTGCAAATCCTCGGGAGTTCTCTAGAACACCAGTGAACCCCTCCTCCGCATCAAGTGGCAGTGCAACCTCATTGCTTGAAAAGGCAGATTGTACTTTGCAAAATGTTGCAACACCTGCATTAACAAATAAAAAGATAGCAGATAACTATCTCTGGTCCCTACATTATCAAAGACACATCGGAAGTGAAGTAACCGAGTCCTTGGCTGCTACGGGAACCTCTTCCAGAGAGGAAGTATATGCCAACTGGATAATGCTCATGCATATATGATATAACCCAGTGGAGAAAAGTGACCACACACATGCATCCCAGATTCTGTTACATCCTTAAGAATCTCTCTGAATAACAATATAAGTCTTCAATTTGGCCTCCAGATGAGTTCTCTAAAGCAGAGGGATTTTGTTGTTCTCCAAATAAATTATATAAAACACAAGGCGTGACCCATCACAGGGGTCTTGCATCTCACTGCCTGGTCAGCAATATGAGGTGCACGGGGTGACATGCCCCTGGCTAGGGGGTTCAGGGCAACTTCCTTGAAACTGGTACATAGGAGATTCCTAATCCGTTTCTGTTTTGGGCTTGTGTTTTTTGGGCCATTCCATTTATGTATTTGGGAGGATTATATGAACTCCTTATCACTGCTATTCTGACCTAATCCCGGAAATACAAAAACTGTACTCTGTCCTCAAAACCTAATAAGAATCTGATCTCCCTACTGCCCATAGACTAGCCAACACACTGATGGTGAACCACATAAATTGTGTTGACTTTACTGTATGTTATTTGTTTTCGTTGTTGCCTTCATCATAACACAATCCATGCTCTTGAAAGCGAAAATCATACAGTTTTAGGAGGAAGTAGTTATCATAGATAGGTATACGAAACATATGAAAGTTATTCAAGGTGATATATTTGAGCTACATTTGGAGGATCAGTTAATCAAACATGACAACAATCTATAGGTTAATGTAATCTTTAAAACCACTCAATCAACTATTCTATATTGATTGGGAACTTGCTCAAAGAGTTACAATCTTGAAACCACTTCAGCTTAAGGCACAATTAGCTAGAATCGTCTTAAATCACACGGGCACCAATTACTGTGTGTATTCTAAAACCTTAAATTGAGTTCACATGCCAAACTTGACCAACTCAATCCAACTTCATATTATCACCAACACCACAATGATAATGTACTTGGTTTAAGCCATAATCAAAACAGTCCAGCCTTCCAGCTTCTAATCAAATTTCTTCAAAATAAAAGCATAAAACAGTACATATACAGCAACTTGACAGCAATAAGTCAGTTAACCAACTTGATTGTAATTGAGGCATTTTAACAGCCAGCCTACTTACTTACCGGAATAACCAGTGCGACCTTTTTCAAGAGAACGTGTGCACGAAAAAAAGGACTCGTACCCATCTGCCGAAACAGCGTCGGCTCTCAGTTCTTGTCTCGACAATTTCGTTTCCTTATTGATTTAAAGCAAAAGAAAACTAAAATCAGGTGATACCAATTAATTTGCAAACCCACAAATGGAAAGAGATGGAGAAGGCACCTGAAAGCAAATGATGTCGGAATCGAGAGAATCCAGGAGTTTACGGAGGGAGCCATACTGAGAAATTCGAGGCCTCAGCCCGTTCACATTATACGTTGCTATCTTCATTCATCCCTTAAATTAGTCCGTCTTCAATACAGCAGAATGCCACTTGGCTATCTACTTCGAAAAATATGCAATTCAAACATCGAAGATCAAACAGTAATGGAACAAAACCGATGTACCAGGCAAACCGCCATTGGTATTGAAGACCTAGCAAGTTCTCGTAGAATTCCTTTTCCAGACGGTACGACGTCGTTATAGGTGTTACTTCGTCAGATGTACAGGACCATCTCCGATTCTAATAAACACAAAAGCTTAAATACATAAATAACAACCTATTTTAAAAAAATATATATATTATAACATTTTATTTTTATTTTTCTTTATTACAATAAAATACTTTTAAATTATTTTTTATTAAGACATCGTACTTAAAAATATATATATCCATTATAGCAATGAAAAACTTGTTAACTTTTAAATTGGTTAACCAATTGACTTTTTTGCTTGTGTGGCTTTAATAAGTTGATGTGGATGACACATTATTTTGATAACTTAATTAAAATAAAAATAAAAAACTATTTCAAATTATTATTAGTGATTTTTCATTTCTCATTGTTATGATTTAAAAAAACATTTAATTTTTTTAACTTTTTTTATTAAGTTGCATGCAAATTAAATGTTCTAGGGTAAAATATTTCTTAAATAAATATGCTACATTTTTTTTGTTGGATCACCTATTGATTTGGTGATGACCCACTGATCTGTTCATCTACAATAGCAACATTTAGTAGTTATTAGTTCTTTGTATATTGGTGTCTTGGTACATACTTAAGCCATTGGCAAAATTGAAGACTAGCCGATGTGAAGACAAAAGGTCACCGATGCGGTATTGTGGATCAACTGTCTATTATACACACCAAGACTCCAAAGTAGCTGAAATGAATATTGAAAATATTTTGATGCTACAAGCCGATTGAAGGAAGATCTTCATAAACCGAATATTGAAAATCTTCATGGACTCAAGATTGAAGATCATRGACYSAAGATTGAARATCWT